TAAATTGTAGTCAGTATTAAAACGAATCAGTTACATTTAAATTTCAAAACGCCTCATCATTTTTGTTTTATGTCTTTTATCTTCGCTGTACGAACTACTTTGGTCTAACTTATACAACTATTTGTAACCATCAATAAGTTAGCAGTTATTATTTTCAATATACTGTAACAATGTACACATTCTTTTTATGGTAAAATAAAGATGTTTCTGGAACAAATTACACCAACATATCGGCGGTCCTCATTCGTTTTGATACTTAAAGTCAGTGAACAGCTAAGAAAAGAGGTTCCTGAGATATCGAGTTCTGTTAAACTCATCTTCCATTTTACCAGTTTAAATAATACAGCTTAATATAGTTTTGTTAAATTAAAGTTTGTTCTCATTAACTAGAAAGCTAAACTTAATTTTTATAGCTTCTTCATAGATCTATATGTTAGCCCTTAGCTAGTTACTTAAACCAGTAATATAGTAGTAGCGTAGTTTGATTCCTTATCAGCTACGACTATTTTCCTTGTTATTTGAAGATAGTTAACATTGATGATTAACTTTAGTTAGAAAACTTAAAACACGGGTCACTAAACATCTGTCGTATCCGAGTATAGGATCGAAGAGTCTCTGATTAGGAAGAAATAGTTGTCCATTTGAGTTCACTATAATCTACCGAACAAAATAATCTCCATAAAGTTAGCTCATCTAAACAATTAACATGTTATTGCATTATCAAACTAATTAAATCAAAATAAGTGTTCTTACAAGATAAGTGAATGTTTTCGGTAATTCGCATGAAACATCTAGGTAACTATAATAGTACTAGTGTTCACTCAAAAGCTAAATGATCTACATTATATATATATATATATATATATATATATATATATATATATATATATATACATGGTCGAAAGTTCGTTTATTTGGGTAGCTGTGTAATTGGTGGTCGTCGCATGACTCACGGGACCAATCTACGTACATTAAAAACCAGAGCGAGCTATGCCAATTCGGGAGATCTTCGGCGCTGTCTTGTTGTTTGTCTGGCCTTCATTTCGGGTTTACAACGTATCGATGAGAGTAGTTTCACCATATGTTTGTAAAACCTGGCCTCTCTGAGTCGAAAATATCAGTCAACTACCTGTGTTTGATTATCGTTGTCTCTGAAGGATTGCTGATACTCAGTGACATATTAGTAATGCAGATGTTCAACAATGTGTGTTAGGCACAGTGACGATAATTCAGTTATGGTTCAGAACAGAAGTCAGTGACAGTCTCGCTGTTATTTTATTTTACTTCGTTCATAAAAGTGAGAGTAACTTCTTTGACTGAAAGAATACTTTTTTTATTCATTTACTCATTTTGACTCATTTATTGTTTCTTTATTGAACTCTCCACTATCTCCTCACAACCTTATTTTCTTGTGGTCAGGTGCACATTTACTTCGGCACCCCTTTATACCAATATTCGTTTGTTTAGATAATAATATACGTATATAAGAGATCTCGTTGTTTAACTTAGATTTCTAATGTTTTACTTTGTGCAGATAATATTAACAATAATTCATCCGTCTTTTAATTCGTTATTATACACACTATTATTTATGGAATGATCTTTAAGGAGTTCAAGATTTTTTTCTGTTATCCTAATTTCTTTGGATAATTAAATTAAAACTAAACAATCTTTTCACCATTTATTTGATATTTTATCATAATGTTCTAAAAACTTGTGTATATCAGTGACATGGTGAGAGGGTGGGTGTCACTTGATAGTGAAATATTTATCCATTTATTTCAAAAACAGAAAAAATTAGTTATTTTATTAAAGGAATCAAAGTTTTAGGATTCTAGTTGTTTTTTCAGCTAATGATTCATGAACTGACATTAATAATTAATTTCTCTGATTTCTTCTACACTAAATATACTCCTTGGTCAACAGGTTCTAGGTACCTATGATTTTTCCTCATAGTTCGTGTATATCTGTTATGTTGAAGGCTGTCACGGGTTCACGTAATCTGCGAACGAGAACGAGATTCGGTGATCAAGGCCCAGTAAGCTAGCTATTGCTGCACCCCAGCTATCTAGAGGGAGAAGTCCATGCTTGAAACGAGAAGTGTATTCTGCCATAACCAGAAAAATGAGCGAGCTTAGTAGAAAATACACTCGTTTATATATTGATTGTACACCCGTTTTGATTAATAATTAGAATGAAATCACATACATGAAAAATACTCACAGTTATAACAAATCATATGCTGTGTATAGTTCATAGTCAATGGAATGCAAGAATATTGTAAGAAGAAAACAAATACTACGTTGCATAATCGTTACATTGAATCAAAAAGGATGTAATGATGAATAAAACTCATATTGAGTAAATCAATCGAATTTTGATTTTTCTTCCCATCTTATCAATATCTTATCTAAAAATCTATTTCTGTTACTTTTACTTCCGTGGTTAAGTTCCAATCTCTCTAGGTTAGTTTTGACTATTCTATAAGAACAATAAATGTGAGTCATTCGAAATTTGTTTGTGGGTTACTCGATTGCTTTTATTAATGGCCATTAATGTGCACATTATCAAATAATGCGATACTGTGCAATTTTTTTTCAACAAATACGTTATCCTCTTTTATAACTGGTGAATATTTTCCATTATACAACTTTCTACTTTTTTTCTGTTCCAAACTTGTTATATTGTTGATTATATGGTACAACAACAGAGCTGATGTGTCCTGCTATTTTTGTTTTCAATCTCTACTGATTATTATGATGGTTTAAACTATTATACCTTTGTTCTTGATTTTATTTCTTAAAACATAACTAGTTTATTCAGTTAGAAATTGATAAACCTTTCATTATATACTGATCTAGTCATTCGAATTTGATTAATTACAATTATTTACTAATATTATGTCATAATTCTTTTTCCAAATATTCCCAGTTCATTTGGTTAATCTATCTAAGTGTTACTTTATTTGTTTTTAGAAAAAAACCTTTTAAAAATATAATCATTTTTAGGTTATCTTTTTAATAATTAGTAAGTTTTTGACAATTTGTTCAATATAAAGAATAAATGTAAAAAGTTTTCTTTTTTAACAAATAACATATAATTTCATTAGTGTGTTGTATTCAATCATCTTTGATTAATTAACTTTTGAATAATATATCTTTTTCTATTCTTATTTCTTTATAAATTCTTTTTAATTATGCATCAAATTATATGTATCATGTGATAATTGTTTTAAATGTTTCCACTTATATACAAAGTAATACAACAATAATGTTGTCTGTTATTAATTGACAATGTCGTTCTATCTGTTTAGAATTTCTACACTTAAATAAAATAATCCTGATTTTAATGGTTGAAATCATGAGTCAAATGAAGTTAGACCACTATGGAAAACCTGGAAGCACTGGACGGCCGTTTTGTCCTATTGTGGGACTCCTCAACAGTACGCATCTACGATCTCGCCACCCGCGAGATCCGCGCGAGACTGATGGGTCATGGGTTCGAATCTTGCGGGGGGCGGGATCGTAGATGCGCACCGCTGAGGAGTCCCATAATAGGATGGAACGGCCGTCCAGCGCTTCCAGGTTTTCCATGGTGGTCTAGCTTCAACTGACTCATGATTTCAACCATTGAAAATACCATAATATCCACAAAACCCCTTCTGATACAAATCCCAATTTCCTCTAGTTTTTGTTTTATTGTGTTTTTTTTAAATATAATTACTTTTTTTATTTTTAAGCTGGTTTTGTTCTTTAATTGAGCTATAATTAAGTTTTTATTTGTCTGGTTAATTTAATAGAAAAAATTATAATTCATTAGAAATTTTTTTCATTGATTAGTTGTTTAATCTTTTGTGTTTTACTAATAAAACTTATGAAGATTTTATAGACTAGTAATGGTTTAATTCATTTTTAATATTATGGATAACAAAACTAAACAAATTATATCAGATATTGTTTTCATTTGATATTTTTTTCGAAATTTTCATCATTTAATAATGAGTAATTTGTTTATTAAATACTCAAGGCGAGATTGTAAGCACTTGAAATTAAGAAAAATTTAAAAGTGAATTAATATTATCTTCAAACTACTCCCCGTATTTGGCAATGCATTTGTTTAATCTCCATCTTCACTATTCAAAATTTCCTTCGACGGATTCAGAAATCATTTTCTTCAGCTGTTTTCAACGTTTCACCTTTTACTGAAATCATATAAACAGATAATTTTTCGAAATTTGGTAAATCATTATTCATCTGGATAGTAGATTGGCGATCGGCAGAAGGTCGATAATAATCCTGGTCTTGTATATTCCCTATGATATCCATGACCTCAATTGAAGTGCCTTATGAACTTGAAGGGAGATGTTTTCTTTGTTGGGCTAAACTTTTCTCAAGCTTCATAAAAAAAGTATTAGCAGCTCACTTCGTACATACACACTGGATATACTAGGTAGGAAGAATAATATCACATTCTAGTTTTGTTTAACACAATTGTACGTAATGTACCAGTATTTAATATGTCTACTTATAATGATAGCTTCAAAGTGTAAGTGACGGGTGTTGTACTCTTGAAAAGTTATTAATTCTATTGAAACTAATCCACCATGTATCTGACATTTAAGATTTTAATATAGACATACTGTCATTTAAGGTGCTGACTATCGTTTCCATCGTGATCATAGAATGTAATGTCAGTAGTTTTCATCCGTTAGTTTATGCCGAATGATTTCCTTTTCTTAAAAAAAGGTTGTTTAATTTACTTTAACTACCTGAAATGTTTCATTGACAATGCGTTGAGTATTAGAGTCTGACAAGTCCCCGTATAGATTTCGTGAATTATATACTCCTGTTATTTTCTAAAGAATACAATATATTTATAAAATTGTAGTGTATTGTTAGATGCTTAGTACAGTAACATACAGGTTCAGTTTTCGTTAATAAAATAGTGAAAGTAATATGTTCCTTTGGATTCTCTTTATTTTCTTTTTTTTGCTGCTTCAGACTAAAGCTTATGGCTCACGACACATACACTTGGGTCTTACTCATCAAGGTGTAGCTGAATTTATAGGCAACCGACGCCAAAAGTTATATCCATGGTAGGTTATCTCTAATTTTATCATTACTATTTTTTTAAAATTATTGATTTCTAGGATGTATAATTTTGCATAATCATCCACTTTATTGGTTTTATTGTAAATAGTGAATAGATTGATTTTTATGTATGAACAAAAAACAAAAACAAATAGATAATCTAACTAATAATTTTGTTATAACGCTCAGTTTTGCACGTCTCCACGAACTGGACGTCGATTTGCCCTAGACAAATATCTACATCAGATTCCCTCCCAGTGTCTGTTCTACAAAATTTCAACACCACTCGGCTCAGTAACACGTGATTGGCCTGACCAAAAAACCGACAACAATTAGACACAATCCAACAAAAATCACAATATTAATGAGGATAGGAGAATATATAACTCATCTAACGCCTGTCAAACTATCTACAAGTCTGACTAAAAAAACAACCAATCATCCTCGCCCACACATCAATGTTACATGTCGGAATAAATGTTCTGTACACAAAAACATTAGCATTAAACGAAAACAGAGATAGGTGGTAGGTAGCAGTGGGATTCAGGATGCACGTTTCGTCCTCTTCGGTACTCGCCATATGAACGTGCCTGCATCCGAGGGTTGATGTTCACTCCAGGACTCGAACTAGAAGTGGGATTAGAAATTACGAAAAAAAGACTGAAAACTTCTACATTTTACCTGCCTCTATTAGTTGACAGTATACCGAATAGTTCTTCAGATTTTCTTTACACCGAGCACCCAGTCATTAGGAGTCTATCCTCCTCTTTCGTATTTCTGATCAAGTAATTGTAATGTCACCATTTATTATCTACTTAACGAAAACACTAACGGGAAGTTGTAAATAAAAGTTTGATTCTTTTGTCCTCGTGTACATTTTTCGTGAATGACAAGTGAAATTAGTGTGATATCCCTATTAAATTGCCATACATTGTCATCTTTTGATCGTTTTGTTGATTGAACTACTGTTTATTTGTTCTTCGAAGTTCTTAGCCATCATTCGTATCTGTAACGGATCTTAGCGTAATATTTATCTGTGAACTAGCTTAAAACAATGGTTTACTCATTCCGATAATTCCCATTTTCAACATCAAAAATATTATTAATTATTAAAGTGAATAGATTCACATCTGTATCATTGTAGTGAACGAGAACACAAATGGGGACAGCCGAACGTGTTTGAATATAAAATTACAGAATCTTTTAGTAAAATCTGAGAACCATACAGTAAATACTTCATTTGCAAAATGTCCATCAATTGTCTCGAACGTTATTGTTCCTTCATTTCCACACCAATTACTTTGTCCCCGTTCTCTTCTGTTCGATCTTCTCAACCTTCTGCCTCCAGGCATTCCACTTTCGATTGTGGATACATACTACTCATAACTGCCGACACCAGTGGTATACACCACATCATGTCGTGGGTTAAGTAGAACTAACTAAAGTGATTTAGATTCATTCGTTTCATGTTTACCTAGTACATACTTTATAGTAGAAAATATCCCCCCTCTTTTTTAATTAAAGCATTATTCTTAAGAAAAATCTCAGAAAATATTTTAAAAATTGTTTTATTTCCAAAGAGAAGTTTCATTTTATTATTAGTTTTATATCATGTATGTAGATATTTTGTTTTGTAACCTGTTGAATATCGTTTTCACTGAAACTTTTTTTTAGTCTTGTAAATCATATGTCTATCTACTATACTTCTTTTACTGATCATCAGTATTTTATATTTGACTTTCAGGTCAGCTATCTCTTGGATGACTTGTAATGGCAGAGATTTTGTTGTTGCAACTTCATATCAAGTAAGTTTCTTCATTTATTATTTCAATTTTTTCTATTTTTTATTATTGATCTTATAGGTCCATTGATTTTACGATAAGGATGTTAAATGAAAAATTTAATTATTATTTTAGCTGTTTTCAATTTATGCACTATGTAGAACCCATAAACTAATTCTGATGTGATTAAACTTCATTAGACACAAAAACTTTCGGAGTTTTATTAGTTTTTATGTGTTAAATAATAGTGAAAGTAATGTTACACATTATATATATATATATATATATATATATATATATATATATATATATATATATATATATATATATATATATATATATATATCGTTATTTGTTTTAATCTAATTTAAGTAATAACTTCGTGGGTTAGATAATGGTCTTCTCATAAGTAGATTTCAAGGCTTAGGAATTTTCCTGTACATCAACATAAAATAACTTTATGCTGTCAAGTGTACTTCCTAACCACTATATGTTTTCGTGTGTATCACTACCGTGTGTTTGTCACCTAAACACAAAGGTGATAAAATTCTAACCGTTGTGTCGGAAAAGTTTTTCATTTTACATGGTGTTACTGTCCTTCTTGTCTTAGTGTTTGTTGCTAATCTTATCTTGTTTGATCTACTAACCACTTCTTCCGCCGTTGACTAGTTTTGTTAAGAGTAGATCACGATAGAACACCTTTTTTATCGATTTATTAACCCGAATTGCTGGGCATCTCCATCACTTGAAAGCTGTGAAAATGAGAAGAGCTGTAGATTCGGTTTTTAACTGGATGTCGTTATTCACCTGGGAAACTCACATGACTTATATTTCTCTAACTTTTGTTATTAATTTGTTTAGAAACTACCGATTTTTCCTAGTTTATGTATAGTCCCTAATTGTAAAATGTTCTGATCAGTGTGGCTATAAATAGTCTACTTACCAGTCTTTGACATAGTCATAGCAGGTAAAATGTTCAATAATATTCAATAAAAAATCAGACCGAAAAATTATCAATTTTATTATGTATTTATGATCTCTGTTCAAAAGAAGAGTAGTAGATTAGTTAAAGGTTTCTATTCAATATTATCCTATTACATAGCTATCCATTCTCCCAAGATATAATGAGACATAATGCATGTATCTATGGTGACTATCAGCTAGATGTCTTGGATTTATCAATGTTCAAAAAAGCCTATACAATTTCCTGTTTGTTTCACCGATAGGTAATTTTTCCAGTCCAGCATATCAGTGTCACTTTTCTTTGTGTATTGTGTTTCTATAGATTTACATTTTCTATAAAATTAATTTGTTCAACAACCTTTGTAAAATAAATAATTGTGTTCAGTGTTAAATTCTCAAGTTCTAGTTCTTAAGAAATCATAGGGAAATTAGTAATTAAAAACATTTTATTATGACATGAGCAAAGACTGACTAGTGCGTTTTTACGATCGCATATACATTTTTGATCACCGAAATTACATACATGTTTGTTAGTACTCTTATCACATCTTTTTAGTATTCCTGGTTGTTGACAATTTTTTCTCTATCCTATTGTTCGAGTTAGTGACCACTTGAATAGGAAGTTAATATTTGTTTTATGATAGGTAATTTTCCTTATATTTCAATTTTATTTTGTTTGACATTTTAATAGCATCCTGGACGAAAGAAAAAGGTAACTAACTTTACTTGTCATTTTATTTTGTTTAAATGTATGACCTTAATAATGGAATCATGGAATGTATATATTATAACGTTGTCATACGTAAACTGTATATAAGTAGATGTTGTGTAAAGGGATTGGAATTTCTCATTCACCTTAATAGTTTTATATCAAATACTTGATAAAAGCATGAGCATTATAAAAATATGAATATAAGCCTTTCTTTATTGCTTCATCCAAACTGTTCTTTACATAAATTGCTATCTATAGTTCAAAACCCTACGATAGCTAGATAAAAAAACTACTCACCTGTTAAACTTTCAATTTTCCTCCCTTTATTATTAATAATAATAAATTTATATTATCCTGGAACCACTACCTTCTAATCAAATTCATAAATATGGTTGCATTGGTCTACAAAATCATCTGCAAGTCAGTTCATTGCATTGACAATGTTTTTATTAGTTAGCTTGAAACCACTGAAAAAATTGAATTCATTTTTAATGATTGTCTTTGCTGACATGAATGAAAGCTTACTTCTTTTAATAGCCATTCTCCTTCACCATATCTTGCATACAATTGTACGTGAGATGTTTTCAACAAAGCTTTCAATACTTTATAGATAATCAGTTATAACAACATTTCCAAAATAAAATTATTTATATACTGTCAAGATAATAAACATATTGTCGCAACTTATGCTCTGTGACACACTGATATTATGAATTCATAAATTGAGCAATAGTTCAAAGGGTATACTTGTTCGTGTTTAGACTGAATGCTTGAAATGATATGTTTAAACTGAACTGTCATGACGGTTCTTTTTTGTTTTAATTCATACAGAAAACTATTTCGTAACTTCCTTGTTGATAAGGTGATAGAGAAAGTTTTCTCTTGTATCTCTTTATATTTTCCTTTCAAACTATCCTAGTGTATCTGTTGTTGTTGTTGTATGCAGGATTTCTTTTGTCATTATAAAATAATTGCTTACAGTAAGTTCTACAAAATTGTTATGGCGAGTGAATTTGCAGTGTTTCACTTACATTTTATGTACTTTTCAGTTGATAGTTTTCTTTTTTCGTTTTTTTCTTTCAATGAGGAAAAATATCCTCTTCGATCAACTGTTTGTTTGTGTACAAAATTAAATTCAACCTTCTTGAAATATCATTGTTTTCATTTGGTTGATTGATTGACTTACCCATTGATGAAAATTAATTTTTTTTAAACTGAAAAATTGTTTATGTAATTCATTGAAAGTATACTGTCGTCTCAATTTGAACAACACAGTTAAAAGAAAATCTACAGGATAGCTGAACACTGCTACGTTTTTTCCAGTTGTTATTGATTTTGTAGGTATGCGCATGTGTGATCATAGCAAATGACAACTTTTATGTTAATGGGCGTTACTAATTATTATTATTACGTGTGCTCTGTTTTACAAATAATGTATTTCATTGTAGCTTATTTAAAGTGAGGGCGATTTTTGCTTCGTTTTGTGTTTGTTTAGATGTTTACGTTTTGCTTTACTAATGTCGTTGTTAGAAAATGGTCGAACTTAACTCTTTTTTTAGTATGTTCATTTAATGTGCGGTTTTAGCTTCCTTAATTATTATTATTATTATTAATTTGTCTGTTTGTCTTTTTTTGAAATCTTTATGTGATTCGATTAACGCTAATAGACAACAACAACTATTCATTATAAATGTGATAATAAGTCTGTTGCACAAGCTTTATGGGAATGGGCATCAGATCGACAATTGTTTTTCACGTACGTAGTATGTTTAATATCAGTCAGATTTTTACACATTTTAAACTTCTATATGCGTGAATATATTCTGATGTTTATTGTTTTGATTTTAATGTATTATCACATAGGTAGTTGGTGTGAATATCCTCTATGTTAATTCAGTTTTAATAATCTACCTGTCTTTTTTCTTAATGCTGTTGACTGTAAAACAAATATTAAGTGAACCTTATATAAGTCGATTAAAAATTGGTTCAGAAATAGTAGTGTGAATTGAAACAACACAGAAAAAAGAGATTCTAAACGACTGTTTCTTCTTCCCATTGGACTTCACAGTAGTGCATATCTATGACTCCATTAAGCGACCTAACCCAGGACCATATTTCATGTTTAACCATTAGACTGGGGAACCCGTATCCAGTGGTTTACATGTTTGACTCCAATCAATTCACGTTATTGTTCAGCCATTATATGTTTATTAACAAAATTGCAAAGTGGTTGAGTTTAATCATGTAAACCGTTGTATATTGACTTGTTATTCTGAAGTTTAAGGGCTTGACCTAAGATCTCAATGTATTGTAAACTACAAAGGAAAAAGACGAAGTAATAGGAGTTGAATAAATATTTTGAATACCTAACTATAAAAATTAGAACTCCGAAATAAATAATCATATTAGTGCGGTTTTTGTAAAACCATTGCAATAAATACCATGGGTCAATTTTCAATAAAAACGATATATTTTCGCTTTGTGATTTAAAACTACATTTGATTTAAGAAATTTTGGTTTCATCAGATTACTAATGCAACTAGAATCCTAAAAAATGCACAATCTTATTTGTTTTCATAGTATAACTCGGGAATAGAAGTCATTTGATTTTTATATTCTTATGTGGTCCAAATACACCTATCCGGGAATTAATAGTCACTTGTTTTTTTAAACTTAAATTGATGTATGTTGGATCATCTACTGTTCTGAGGGGTGGGTGGTGTAATAATCTTCGAATATGTAATTAATACATACGCCTCAGGATCAAATCGATTATCAGGTGGTGTCATTTGTTAACTTTTAGTGTAAACTTAAATACAAGAATCGTCTATTTAGTGTGATGATAGTCTTTAACTGCGACTATTTGTACCTCGTAGTCATAACTGGACAAAAGTTTGATAATAACAACTTTCCATAACTATGGGACTATTGGTACTTGTTAATTGTCGTAACCAAATAAATATTAGCACAGCTTGACTCAAGGGAAGAAGGTAAGACTGCTAATAAAGATTTTATTATGCACCAACAATGAATCCACAATTGATAAAAAATAAACTTGGTTATCTATCATTCACATATCATCTGTTCAGTTGTCACATTTGAATACGAGTTAGTTAGGTAGTACTTGACATTCATCATCCAATAACATAATGTGTGTATATAGTTTATACTATCAATAGATTAAACTGCTTCGGCTGGCAAATAAATCTGAACTGTTGGGTTGCATACTGTCTTCTTCCGAAAACACACTCTCTAAATTGAGTAATTTGTGATTTAATTACAGTTTAACTCTTCTGTGTAACCAGTCAGTTGGACAGTGGTTCTGTCGGTTCTCTGAGTAAACTATCCATTCAACTATCTTAGTGGTTCCAGTATTTTATTAACCTAATTTCATTTATCATAAAGGAAGAATACCTTATACTTTTAATTAGAATGTTTGACAAATATGTAAATTTTTCTGCATGCGTGTCTATTTACATTTTCCAGTTTCACTCTGCTCTTCTCTTTATTCATATATATACACCTATTTTTAAATTGTAGTTTAGATAAATCTTCATCTGTCAAACCTGTTAAATCAAAGAAAACACTGTTCCAACGAACAAGAACCTTTACATTCTCGTAAGTGCGCCTGGGGTATCTGTGTGTTTTGGTGGTGGTAGTTTTTGTTCTTATTATTCGAATTTCACATTTGTTTTATTGTCTAGACATTTTTGCCTTAGTAAATCAAGACAGTCAAAAATTATTGTCATACATACAATGAATTCATCAAAGGATTAAACTTCATTAAAATTTTAATGGTCCTAACAAGAATTATCCTACTGAAATTTATTTTCAGTAAATTGAATTCATTGTATTATTATTATTATTATTATTATTATTATTATTATTATTATTATTATTATTATTATATTACACTACTTCTTTGATTTCAGTGGCCGATGTCGTCGTGAAGTTATTGGAAGACCACTGTTAACCACTAGTTTACCCACTGATATATGGTATGTTTAAAAATGCACAGTTGAATTACCTATCTGAATTTTTAAAACCAAAATGTCAGTTGGGAGATTCAAATAACCAGTACAAAATGGTTTCTGTTTGATAAATTTGGACTTTATTTGGTTCTATGTTCCAGCCATCATCCCTAATAAGTGGCAACAAACAAGTGAAATCGATACTTTTAACAAAAGATTGATGTTGCCTGATTTCATAGATTTCGTGAAATTTGAGAGTAAAAAAGATTGGTTTGGCGAAGAGTTCTCTTTTTAGTTAATCAATTTCCGATTCCGGGCATTCAAAAATAAATACTTACTTTACTAAATCAATGATAGTAATAATCATTTGCTCAACTTGACAACAGAGAGGTGAAATAGACAAAAATACAAAAATTTCATTCTTTTTTAAGAAACTACGAATATGGTTTTCAAGAGTTTGAATATTTATCAAGAAGATAGATAACGATTAATAATGATGAGAACAGAAATAAGTTGGTTGGCAATAAAAGATCTATAGAAAAAGATATCAGGGCGTGGTTGGTGACTTTGGAAAATGAGATTAAGAACATAATAAATTAAAAGGTTGAATAAGTTCCTTTTGTATACATAATTTTGGTTTGTGTAGCAAACGCTTCAGGAATTCTGAGAAGGTGGAAGCTAACTATCGTTGTCAGGTTTCTACTTACCTTATAAATAACTTTGAATGTTGAATCTGTTTTGATCTAATCACCTGTGTTCACAAAGTGTTTGATTATGAAACTTCTTACTGGTTTGTTCTTGCCTGTTTTCAGTCAAGCTGGACTATATTCTCAAATTCTGTTGGATAGAATTTATCAATCATGAATATTTTAAATAACGATTACCTTATCTTTTCTTTAATGTGTCGTTTATATAGTATGTGTGCTTATGTTTAGTGTAGAAAGGCTTTAATATGACTATTAAATAACAATAAACTCTATAACTGAAAGCTAGTTTACTGCAGTTCATGCTTAATTTATTATATTCAACAGATATTAATATGTCACCAGTTTTACGTTGTATAACTCTTAATGCTGTGCTTTTCGTAGTTTGTAATTCAAACTATAGAAATGTTTTGTTTATAAATTTAATATGACTGATTAGCAAAGTATGTGATTTATAAATATATGCATTGTCGAATGTACTCATTTGTATTAAGTTAATTGTTAGTACGCTTTTTAATATACTTCAAAGTATTATCATAATTTTGAAAAAAAAACTACGTAAATATACATAGAATTATTTACACCTGTTAACTACTCTTCTTGGTTTCATTTGCAATTTACATTCAGTGGGATTTCTGTAGCTGAAGAAAATCTTTCTTTTAATAATCCAACTTCAAGTAATGCATATAGTGTAAGTATGGGTGCTCTCACAAATGGTACTGGTCGTAGTATGAATACACATATTGAAAACAATATTGAAGATGGTGAATCAACTCAGACTGCTCCAGCTACTACAACTTCAGGATTATTATCAATATCATCAACATCTTTAGGCTATTCACGAGCTCCTGCATTATCAGAGCCTTCAGTAGCACGTAATATCACTAATAATTCAATAGAGGAAAGTATTGAAAATCAAGTCAGTCCACACAATCTCTCAGGCCCCTTTGTTGTTAATTCAAATCAATTGGTTCCACTTTTTACTAATCTACCTAAACATCGTTTCAGTACGGAAGCTAAAAGAAGGCAACGTGAAATTTGTGAGTTTTGCAAAAATTGTCTTCCAATTTTTTCTATGTAACTGGAAACTGTCTTTTGGATTATAGCCTATAGAGGTCTGTATGTTGATTTTATTAATACAAACATTTGTATACGAAAGTGGTTACCAGTCTTGGTTTTCTTTGTGCCCCTGATAAGCTCTTTGAACTTCTATATCTACCGCTAATCAGCTTACATTTTAGTAATAAATGTTTCTGTTTAGTGCTTTTTTCAAAACGTGTATATTGTTAGCTATCGAACTGTTCCCGAAAACAGAGCTACAAGTGTTTTTATTGCTCTTAACGTTAGAAAGGTACAGTGCATAAATTCACTTCTTGTCAGTTAAATACACTTATATTCGGTTTTAAAGTACAAACTCGGTCTTTTTTTATAATTCGAATGTGTATGTGATTAACATATTGACCTTTGAAACTCTACAGGTAATATGTGTATGTTGAAGATGCTACAATTTTTATTGTAAACGACCAAAATTTATTGGGCTTGACTTCCTTTTTTTGTTGCGGCCAAAGAGGTTTTTTCTCTTGTTTTTGTCACTTTTTATTATGTTGATATTTCATCATACTTTCACAGAATTTTTAAACATGTAGACAAACAACAGTGGACTTTGTGCGCAAGATTTATATTTTGTGGATCGGTCACTTAGTCACTTTATAACGGAATTGTTGATAAGGGGTATAAAAGGAATACTAAGAAGTGTTGAGAGAATGCAAGAGGATTGGTCCACTCTATTAACTGTACGAGGAATTGGAGTAAAGAGTATTTTAACATTTAGTCAGTTCGTCTTATAAAACTCTATCAACAACTCTGATATCGTATCCACATTCTATCGTCTCTTCTAACCCTAGCTACTCCCAAAGATAAATCTTTTGTTTATTGAGAGAGACCAAAAAAGTTTAATTACGTAATTTATTAACTGAGTAATCATTACTTCAATGTAAAATAACAGTACATTGAAAGTCAGTCAATAGAATTTACTTTCAATAAATTCAGTTTTTTTTTAAAAATTGATTTCTTCTTAAATGTTGTATTGGAAAATTGAGCATCCTTTCATAAAATCGTTTTTAAACTAAGAATAAAAATTCTTCTAAAATATTTTGATAGTGAACAAAACACAATCTGGTCACTGATATGTATGATCTATTTATACTGTTTATTGTTTTTTTTTTTTTGTATTTTTCTATCTAAAACAAAAAATTAGTGAAGCAACAGTCGAAATATGGATTATATCAACAAAATCATTCAGATATATTCGATACTGATGATGAGTGTGACAATGATGATACATCATCAGAAGCTGCAGTGGAAGCTCTGAATTCTGCTGCCAAAGCTGGAGAAGCCTGGTTAGCCAATGAGTTGGGACAGGTAAGGTAAAAATAAAACATCTAAATATTTGTTGCATCTTTTAATGTGATTCATAAACATTAGTGTTTATTGCACTTGTAATAGTAACTACACGTCAGATTTTGTTTACAATGAATCATAACTACGAAAATGTGTTTACTGGGCTTAGTTCAACACAAAAAGTTCATGCGGTCTAAGTATACTTTACTTGATTACTTTCAGTTATTTTTAAAAATAATCAGTTTCCATTTAATCAGAGTACAAGTAATATATGCTGATAAATCTGACTGAACGCTTGAATAAGTTCCCTAAGCTCTTCTAATAACCCCAGACTAACTCCACACGTCAACTTGAACACGTGAGAATTGACGCGAAATTTGGGAAGAACACCTTACTCCAAGGTTAGTTTATGTACAGAAAATTGAGGGTATTTATTAGGATAGGTAATCATCCAATCAGAAATGTGACACGCAACTCTTCACTTCCTAGATGTTTCTGACAAACTTCTTTTCAGTGGTGATTGGATAGAATGTTTGCCAGTGTTTTTATGGCCCCTTTATGCTTTTTTCAAGGAACTTTCTGGGTCTACCCAACATATTTGAACAAATCGAAAAGAATCTGATTTGAGGAATAAAATGAATTCATAATAGTTCAAGACCTATTATTAGCTGCAAGTGGCATAAAGTTGCAATCAGTTACATTATTATAAAAATAGTTTTCTTCACACGATGATCATTAAGGGTGAGTTCAAAACGACCAATAAAACACACATAAATATGAATAGAAAACAATATTTTTTACTTACTTACTTTTTAATTACGCCTGTTACTCCCAATGGAGCATAGGCCGCCGACCAGCATTCTCCAACCCACTCTGTCCTGGGCCTTCTTTTCTAGTTCCATCCAATTCTTGTTCATTTTTCTCATATCTATCTCCATTTCTCGGCGTAATGTATTCTTTGGTCTTCCTCTCCTCCTTCGACCTTGAGGATTCCATGTGAGGGCTTGTCTTGTGACGCAGTTCGGTGCTTTCCTCAATATGTGTCTTATCCACTTCCAGCGCTTCTTCCTGATTTCTTCCTCCACTGGGATTTGATTTGTTCTCTCCCATAGTAGGTTGTTGCTAATAGTGTCCGGCCAACGGATCTGAAGTATTTTGCGTAGACAACTGTTAATAAACACCTGTATCTTTTGGATGATGGATTTCGTAGTTCTACAAGTTTCCGACCCATACAGTAGAACTGTCTTGACATTTGTATTGAAAATTCTGACTTTGGTGTTGGTTGCCAATTGTTTTGAGTTCCAGATATTCTTCAGTTGTAAATATGCTGCTCTTACTTTGCCAATCCGTGCCTTCACATCTGCGTCAAATCCACCGTGTTCATCGATGATACTGCCCAGATATGTAAAGGTTTTTACATCTTCCAAAGCTTCCCCGTCAATTGTGATTGGATTGTTGCATGTTGTGTTGTATCGGAGAATCTTGCTTTACCCTTTGTGTATATTGGGACCTATTGCTGCTGAGGCTGCTGCTACACTGGTCGTCTTCTCCTGTATATGTTGTTGCGTATGCGATAGAAGAGCCAGATCATCTGCGAAGTCTAGATCATCCAACTGCATCCTAGATGTCCACTGTCTCCCGTGCTTCCTTTCAGATGTTTACGTCTTCATGATCCAGTCGATCACCAGGAGGAAGAGAAAAGGTGAGAGTAAGCAACCTTGCCTGACACCGGTCTTTACTTCGAACGACTTTGTCAACTGTCCTCCATTCACGATTTTGCAGTTCAATCCATCGTAGGAATTCTGTATGATATTGACTATCTTTTGAGGTACGCCGTAGTGTCGAAGAAGCTTCCATAGGGTTGCTCTGTCCACGCTATCAAATGCTTTTTCTTAGTCAATGAAGTTGATATAGAGTGATGAATTCCATTCAATTGATTGTTCCACAATGATCCGTAGAGTTGCGATTTGGTCTGTACACGATCTATCCTTACGGAATCCTGCCTGTTGATCTGGAAGTTGTGCGTCTACGTAGTCCTTCATCCTGATTAACAATACCCTGTTTAAGACGTTTCCTGGTATTGAGAGAAGAGTGATTCCCCTGTAGTTGTCACAGTTGCTGAGATCGCCTTCCTTTGGTATTTTGACTAGAAGTCCTGTTTTCCAGTCTTTCGGTACTTGTTTTTCATCCCAGATCTTTCTGAAGAGAGTTTGGAGTATCCTTGCAGTTACTGCTACGTCTGCTTTCAGTGCCTCTGCTGGAATGCTGTCTAGTCCTGCTGCTTTGCCACACTTGATTTGTCTGATGGCCATGCTGATTTCTTCAGTTGCTGGTGAGCCAACATCGATTGGGAGGTCCGTGAGTGCTGCTTCGATGTTGGGTTGGTTCAGTGGGGCTGGTCGATTCAAGAGTTCTTTGAAGTGTTCTACCCACCTGTTTGGTTGTTCTGCAACGTTGATGATTACCTTGCCTTCCATGCTTTTCACTGGTCGTTCCGGTTTACGGTGATTTCCAGAGAGATTCTTTGTTGTGTCATACAGTTGTCTCAAGTTCCCTTCTCTGGCAGCCTTTTCTGCCGTCATTGCTAAATCTTCCACATATTTACGTTTGTCAGTTCTGATGCTCCTCTTCACTTGCTTGTTTACTTCTGTGTATTCAGCATGTGCCTTGGCTTTTTCTGCTCTTGTTCGACTAGTATTGATTGCTGCCTTCTTGTTCCTCCTTTCTTGAATCTTATCCAGTGTATCAACAGTGATTCATTCCTTGTGATGGTGCTTCTTTTGGCCCAGAACCTCATGACATGTTGAAGTGATTGCCTCTTTTATCTCTTTCCAGTTGCTCTCCATAGTAGTTCCTTCTCCATTGAGTAGATCATGAAAGGCCTGGAACTTATTGCTGAGGGTTATCTTGAATTTATTGAGTTTGTCATTATCCCGAAGAAGAGCCGTATTAAACTTTTGTGATATTGTCCTCCCCGTTGTCCAGTGCCTCTTGAGTTTCATTTTCATCTTGGCGACCAGCAAGTGATGATCTGATGCTATATCGGCTCCTCTCTTTGTTCTCACAACCTCCATCGTCCTCCTGAACTTTTTGTTGATGCAGATATGGTCAGTTTGGTTCTGTGTGGTGTGATCCGGTGAAGTCCATATGGTTTTGTGGATGCGTTTATGTGGGAATATAGTGCTGCCTATGACCAGTTTATTGAAAGCACAAAGGTCTGCAAATCTTTCACCATCTTCGTTCTTTTCTCCCAGTCCGTGTCGTCCCTTGATGTCTTCATATCCGGTGTTGTCAATTCCAACCTTGGCATTTAAATCTCCCATCAGAATAGTCAGGTCTTTTGTTGGGCACTTCTCGACGATTTACTGCAGCCTATCGTAGAATTGATCCTTAGTGTCTTCATTGCAGTCGTTGGTAGGCGCATAGCATTGGATGACGTTCATTGTAATGCTCTTTTTCTTTGTTTTGAAGGAGGCTTTGATGATCCTTGGTCCATGAGATTCCCATCCTATAAGTGCATTTTGTGTTTGTTTGGACAGCATCAATGCAACTCCTTGTGTATGTGGGGCATTTTCTTCTTCATGTCCGGAGTATAACAGCAGCTCCCCTGAAACTAGTCGTTGTTGTCCAACTTGCGTCCAATGTGTTTCACTGATCCCAAGCACCTCTAAATTGTATTTCCTCATTTCTGCAGCAATTTGGAAAGCTCTCCCAGTCTCCCACATTGTGCGAGCATTCCATGTACCTAAATAAATGGTTGCTCTGGTTGTCAGAAGGGGTATCGGTTTTGTGACTTCCGAAGAAACTCGGCTTTCATCATGAGGCGTCATAATTCTTCTAAACGAAGACCTCCTGACTCCCAGGGCAGAGTTTAAATGGTTTGAATAATTTTTTCTGGTTAGCGTTTTTTTAGCGAGTTAGTTTTCTACGGGATGGGGTCGCTAACCTCATGCCCAACCCTCCTCTTTTATACGGACTTGGGACCGGCAGTAGCCCCCCGAAAGGGACTCCAGGCGGAGTTAGAAAACAATGTATTTAACAATGCTGAGGATCGATTTCGGGTATTTATATGTTGGATATAAAGTCATATAAAGAAGGGGATAATATCTGCCAACGAGACCTCAGGTTATCTACTTTTAGTTCATTGTTATGTCTTAATTCCTTCTTTATAGAATAAGGTCAATGACATTTTTCTAATTCATATTTCTTCAGTGACCTTTTTTATCATCTGATTGGCTGTTGTCACTTCTAATTTGCTAATTTTGTTGCATCCCAAGGTCATCGAATGTTATATAAACTGAGTTGTTCCACTTCAATGATCGAAACCCAAAGCTTTCCTGGATTATTAGTGTTGAAATGCTACTGTGTACCATATTATGTTTCATCGAATCTTCCATTGAACTCATTCGTTTTAGAATTAGCTCAGTCGTTCTGTAATTAGTAGTAACCACAGATTCAATCAAAAATCTGATTCGTAACCATTTTATTCAGATGTAACAATGTCATAGATAATGATAAACAGACAAAATCGAAAACTATATTTTTCAATAATTGTGAGGTAATAAGGCTACGTAAGTAATATACAATTAAAATTAGCTTCGTGAAACAACATCAGTGGGATTCGTTTAATTATAGAATACAGCGAATAGTTTATGTAATTTACAAACGTTAAAACAATATCATTATTTTATCGATGCAAGAAGAGATTTGTCACACCTCTCTACATACAGAGGTCACGTATAAATCGCTTGATGCCAGTGTCCTCTGCAAAATTAGGTGAATAAAGAATCTAGTATATAACAATCCACAAAAGGAAAACGTTATGAGTGGGGATTAGAATGACAGAACTTTTAGTAGCCATACTGATGAATACTTATGTAAATAGTTCTTTAACCTGAAATCTCAAGACTTTGAAAAGTTCATAAATCATTTTGAAATGTATACATTTGAACTTTCAGTTAGTCATTTATATGCACTGTAAAGCCCTGACACATATATGCATCAATTCAAGTTGCTACACCACAATGGCACAGCGAGATAATATTATCAGGAAAAATCCCAAGGTATTACAATTAGTGACAGTATCATTTGCAGTCGAAAGGCTTAGATTCTGAGCCATGTCACCCCGAAACTCTAATTATTGGTTACGACAACATTGTGTGCCCTAACCAGACAGCCTTCACTAATTAACATGGCTAAGTGCGATCGTCGATAAGTCCATGGGTTACTCTCACGTTTTGGTTTACACATCCCTTGTTGTTCATCAACCCGCTTTTACACCGGACGATACCATTCATAGGAGCAGGCTGTGATTCAGCATACGTAATCTATCTCTCAATCACCTTAGTTTATAAAGATTTACAACCTCGTTAACTGACTCGTCATCTTTACCTAGTATCCTATGTTTAACCTCAAAATTTGTCACTTTGTGGTCCGAACGTACGTAAACAATGTTTAGAAAACAATTATAATCGAGTTTTAATTTTACTTGTTTTCCGTTATATTTTCGTCAGCAAACTAATCACTTTCTCATTTCCATTTTGAAAGTCACTCATGTTGATACCTACTATGTAATCTTGTTATGTCTTTTATCAATGTTAAGCGTCTTAGTAACTAAATATTGGTAGGTTTTGCCTAATACGATACAAGCTATTCGTCATCGCATTTCGAATTCTGCTCAAAACTCCATACCCGCCAATTTAAATTTGATTTATTCGTCAATAAAATATACTTTTGCCGTATGTGTTAACTAAAGCTTATTTATAAGTAAGCATTATGATCTCTATTATTTATTGTGTACTACGTGGCATTATACGATACAATACAACTAATTATTATGAGTAGGACTTGTGAACAGGATAAACGTGATTAAGAGCAAGAGTGTCGATCGTAAACTTCTCATCAAATGTTGTTGGATGGATGGCAAATGCCATCCGCAAATTATTAATGAATAATTAAACCTTGTATACAATATTTTTATTTGCTACTCCATTACTATATATATATATATATATATATATATTACAAGTTTCTCGATATAATTTTTCCTCAAGTTCAGTGATTATTCTTCCGTTAACTTGCAGTTTTTTAATTGTTCATGTTTTAAAGGAGGGCAAAAGACGAATATTACTTTCACCTGCTAAATCATGGTTCAGTTTTTTCCACTCATCAAATACTGAAAAGGAAGATAAGCAAACATCTTCTGTTCAAAGTGAAAATGTCCGTAACGCTAATCATTCATCACTTCTGAATCTAACAAATAATGACACTTCTGTTACAGATATTGATTCTGAGTCTTCTACGGAACCTGTATCTATTTGGCGTTTTGCTGCTATATCTGCTGGTTTCATGACATGTGCTTCAATTTTTGGTTTAGCACTTATACTTGAGGCTGAAGTGCATTCACCAATCATGGCGACAATTCGTGGTCATCCTTGGTTTTTAGATTTTGATTCTCGTTTTTATCGACCTATGCGATCTGCTCTTCTTGGTTTCTGGCGTCGTTAACACTATCTACCTAATATACTTAGCTTATTTAAGTAGCATATTTGTCTAATCTTGTTTTGTTTTTGTTTCTTCGTTTATTTGTTGTGGTTTCTTTTTTAATAGGATAGTATTTTTTGTATAGATTTTTTTCGTTTCCCAGCTTAAATGTAAAATGTTTCATGGTTTACAGTTCAGGTCTAAATAATCCATATATTACATTATATTTGTTGTGCTTTTATCTTTCTCTCCAGTTGTCATTTCTGTTGTTGTCCTTTTTGTTTTTTCCTTAACTGTAATTTTTGACTTGAGTTTTTTCTTTTATCATTATATTTATTTATTTATTGTGTGTTGTTACTATTATTATTTATATTGCAACAATTCACTCATTGTAATGAAATTCATCATTTTCGGTGTTCTTGAATAATATGTCATTATTGTTTTCATCTACTCGGATAATATCTACATATATATAACGTGTTTTTAATTTTTACTTTCGAAGTTTTCGATTTCAGTGTTGATTTGATGGCGATGATCAGCTTTCGTGGTAATTTCACCCTTTCTAACTTTTAGCATAAAATCAATAAAACTGTATACTGTAAACAAACACCATTTTAATCAGTGCATTTACGGTAGATATGTGCAGACAATAAAAATTCATCAGTAGTATATTGTTCTGTTTTCTCCGTCATTGTCGAATTGCTTATTATTTATCAATGACCTTTTCATTTCTCCTGTCATTTCACTATATCTTCATGCATCATTTGCTAAACCCTTTATAGTTTTTATTATAAATTACTACATTTCATTACAATTTGAATTACTATAAAAATATATATGTGCCTAAATAGTATTATTTATTAATATTTGTAAGGGTTTATAATTTTTTCTAGTTGTTAATATTTAGGAACGGATATATTATCATTGTTTTGTTTTATGAGCTTCTAGAACAAGTACCCCAGTATTAGTTGCTAGATTTACAGTTTGAGGTTACTTTTTTGTATGTTGACTACGATTTAAATTCAGGATGGTGTATCAGGTGGCTACAAGTAGTCGACTAGGAAGCCTGAACCTAAGTTTCTTCCTAGCTAGCACCCATCACCAATGTGTACTTATAACCCTGAGGAAACTGATGCTTCTTGTGAAATTAGAAGCTCAGAAATGGAAATCACTAATCTAACTTATAACTATAATATGTACATAGAAAATGTTAAGATACATTAAGTAACATATAAAAGGTAAACATAAGCTGACCAGCAGTAAAGTTGTAATCAGAATGGGGTTGTGGAGATTGTTGAATTTCACTAAAATCATAAATCGATTCAAGTTAGACCGACATTGAAAACCTCGAAGTACTGGGCGTGCTAGTATGGGACCCTTCAGAAGAGCGCATTCACAACTCAGGACTTTCGATCTCGTACGCGGACGCTTTATATGTAGACCGCTAAGCCGATCCATGATCTAAATGTAATTCAACAATCCTTGCAACCACATACTGACTGTTATCATGCTTTCATTAATAACTGGCTTCAAGAGGAAATTTTAGGAATTCTAGTCAGGAGCCGTGACTAGTAGAGCTAATCCGTGTCAGGTGTGAGGCAGTTACTCATCGAAGACAATGGTAGGTGGTTAATTGAGGTTAGGCATTAACACCACTGGACCCCAATTTATTCTACAGTTTAGGCAACCGCAAGCGGGACTGAAGGTCCTCGGTTCGATTCCTGCATGGAAAGTCGTGGATGCACACTTATGAGGAGTCCCATACTAGGATGTTCAGGTTTTCAAAGGTGGTCTAACATCGATCGTTTCATGATTTTAATTCAGTAAAATAGTAGTTTGATTGCAGTTTTTGTAAAGGAAGTGAATGACTGGTACTTCTGTGACACAAGTTTCATGCCTTTAGTTGCAATGGTAAAATATAGATAGGATTATCAGTCATTCAAAATTGTAGAAAACGTTGTATGGTTTCCTGTGGGCTGTTCTCACTTTTAAGAACATACCAACCCTACTTTCCTGATTTCCATGCGTTTAGTAATTTCAAATCGGATGATTGTCCTCATCATTCTCCCGTAAAAAGCAAAATGTAATGAATATAAGAATATATGCATACTTTATACTACAAAACTGGAGGTAACTATCTTACTGATGAACTTTGATCAAGACCAAAAAGAAACTAAATTTCTCTGTTCACTTTGAACTAAATTTCTTACGTATATCATTCAACTAAATCAAAATGTAAGCAGTAATTCGTAATTCTTTAAAACTACTCACATATTTCTACAGGTTTTTTTCATTTAAAATCATTCAGAATCCATAAGAGATCTGGTCAACTTGCAATTAAAAATCCGTGTATATATATAACATATTCGATATCATGGAAGCATTTTATTTACCATATACTCCCCAACATTAGGTTTGACTTATCATGGGGGTGTTTACATGGCCACACAAACGAGAACTGACTGATCCACCGTTTCATCATGCCATCTAAACTCAAAAACAATAAGTGACTTCTCGCTTTCTGAATCAACGAATTGTACTTTGTGCAACTGACTCACAAAACCCCCGCCATAACCTTGATATACTGCAAAAAACGTGTCCCATGGTTGCACCTCTTAAAATGTCTTATATATCCTTACATCTGTAAGTATATTCCATTCCACAAGTCATGTTATAGGAACTTGAAATGTTCAATCGTTTTTGTTACTGAGGACACTAAGTAAACCTCCCTATCTGCTGTCACTGTGCACTAATATCATCACTAGTAATCTTAACTAATTTGAATATTATCTAACACGAACATCATAAAATAACCTGGCACATGCATTATGGTAGACCTGAGTAACTTATCGTAATGGTTATTGCTTTTTATTGTTCCGTTCTATTTTTTTAGTTGCAGATGATTATAGTCAGGTCGTTATGGCTCAGGAAAGGACCTTAAATACACCAACCGTGCATTAACAAGATATTCACTTAAAAAGGATTAAAAGTTCTAGATTGACACCTTTCATTTGTGTAAAACATGTGAAAAACTTACTATCTAAACAATTTTTGAACTAGAGCACTTCAAGCAATCTAATATCCCATGTCCTTTACATTTAATATTACTATCTACACTAGCATAAATTCTGTAATTATTATTTTTGAAATGCAATATTCTATAATTTTCATTAAAGACTCGGTTGGTATTAAATTGAAAAGAGAGGGAAAACTGATTATTTGAAATCACATAGGCTCTGTTGTTAACCGGTTCAGTTGTTCAAATAAGTAGTGAAAACATAGGATTTAGTTGAAGATTGTAATATAACAAGTGTCATCTGTATATCATATTTTTGATGGCAAGTGCACAGTAAGTCATCTGAATTCCCTACTTGTGACTGTCAAAAAATAAATAAATAAACGCATTCTTAAGTTTGAAGAAAATATCGTAATTAAAATTGCGCTTGGGAAGTTATAAGAAATTCATCTCGTCTACTTCATTCCCGAGCACAAGTTACATATGGATCACTGAAGAAAACTTCTGTCTTATTTGTTTTTAGTGGAAAGAGAGGATTTAACTAGTTAGCATTGTTATAACACTGTTGATTTAATACTAAAAGGGAATGAAAATGGTGATTACATGGTTATATCGTTCACAAAAGTGATCTCTTAATTTCAACCTCAAGTCTTTAATTGAGCCAAACCATTGGCCAACTGAGTGAAATCAAAGTGCTATTTATAGACATTTGTTTAACCAAGATACTATTATTATTAATTATATATCAATTAATATATAAGTAGTTATATTTGAAATTTAAAGTCATAAATCATTTACCAACGATTTTTCACTTTTTATCTATCATATTCTGTACGAACTGCGATCAATTAATTATATCTAATAAGTGATGCAAAAAGATAAACATAGATCAAGGATTTTCTTCCAATTATCTAGCATCAGGACATGTTGCGTCACAAAAAATATCTGTATTTCATAGCTTGATCGATAGAATTCTGTTTTTTCCTAGTATAAGCCTGCTTAGCAATGTTCTTCCACGACGCAACCATCGGGGATATGTTCCATAGACCTTCGGTCTCCCGTTTAGAGATAAACTTTCAAATCACTTTGCTGGCGTCCAATAGTTTGCATATCCAACTTCAAATAATTCATGATATTTCTCAATAATCTTTCACTATCTTCACTGGCTGAATGCCTCAACCCGGATACGAGTGAATTTCACCGGTCACAGCTTTTTACTACAACTATGAAAGTTTCCTCTTAAAATTAATCACTAGTAAGCACCTGACAATTAACAGTATGTGGGTTTGCAAAAATTTCTTGCTGTTAATTAGATGACAAACAAACTTAAGTTCGACAACCATTACAAACCAAAAAAAAAACATTGGATAACTGTTTTGTCCTAATATGGAACTTTACAATAATCTTTATCCACAACGTCATAAGGTATCAATATTAGTTATTAGTCAGTAATCATTATATCTAAGATTATAGTAAACTGATTTTTATAACCTATTTATAAAATTAATTAATCTGATGATAATTCATCCCATAATCTTATTAACTATAATCAATACAAATAAAATATTAAGTCACAAAGAATATATTAAAAGAAGAACAACAACAGCAAGAGAAGAAAGAAAAAAGAATTTTATTTCAAAATTATCATTATTTTTTTTGTTTAAAACTTCTAATCGATAAAATATTACCTAAAGTTACATGAGATTAATTAAAGTAAAAGAAAAAATTAAAGAGAATAATAATTTTCTTTTCTTTTACTTTACTAATTAAATGTAAAATAAAGGGTATTTAATTTTTGTTTATTTATTTATTTATATTAGGAAATATTACAATGAATAATATTAATAGAATAATTAAACATGTAATGATAAAAGTACCAATTAATAGAAATGCAAAAATTCTTTTTCTTTTTATATAATTTTTTAAAATATCACATAATTTATAATGAATTGGTAATTCATTTATAGTAGGTAATATATGTATTTTATTTTGTCCAAATGATGTACTTAAATTTGATGAATTTATACTACTTAATGTAGATTTTTTATTTGAAGTTTGTAAACGATTACTTAATTGACTTTTACGTGGATGTATAGTTGATGTTGATTCTTGTAATGATAAACGTTGTTCTATATCAACAGGAAATGCTAATACATTCCATGGTGTAACACAAACTAATGACTAGAAGAAACAAATTAATAGAAGACAGAAAAAATAAATAATAATGACCGAGAAAAACAAATTGTATTTGATAATATTCAATAGAATGAATTGTTTTGTATTGTAACATTTGATATCATGTAGGTATCATTAACCAAGGTTTGATTGGATAATTTCGAATAAATTATGCATTGAGTAGATTGTTTTAAATAAATTAGTATATTTGTAATATCCTAATGAGTAAAAAATAATATCTATTTAAACTTGGATTAATTTTGATTTGGTTATTTATTCTTTGAAGAAGTGGCTTACACTGAGTCATGAAAACGTCAGAAAATTTAATTTTTCTATTCATTGATATATTACAAATATATTGATTTATTTATATCCGGTATCATGTTTGTCTTGATATATAATTTGTTTCTAAAGTAATAGATTCGGTTTGAAACATTTGGATTTGTAGTTTCGTTTATCGCAAACTGACATTATTTAGTGAACTAATGAGAATCAGAAATTGCTAGGTATCTATTTCACTCTAATATGGAATTTCGTAGCTTTACGCATCCATAACCCTAAGGGGGATCGAATGTAGGACATTTAGGCCGTATGGTGAGCACTTCACTTTCAGATCACTGGGTTCAACTCAATTAAGTTTTATTTCTAACTTCAATCAGTTCTTAATATTGAATAAATAACAACCATTGCTACTGGTTACATCTAGCTTACTCCCGATAAAGCTGATCTCTACTTGTCATGCCTTCTCAATAGAATCCTAGGAATTACCTCTCAAAGTTAGTCCTCGATTAGACAGAGAAGAAACTGCAAACATGCTCCACGTTCTATTCAGGAGGATTTGGAAGGAAGAACAAGTGCCGACAGACTGGAAAGGAAGATACGTCATCAAGATTCAAAACGAAAGAGACCTGAGCAAATGTGAAAACTACAGAGGCATCACACTACTGTCAGTACCAGAAAAAGTTTTCAACAGTGTTGTTGAACGGGACAAAAGATTCAATAGACACCCAACTTCGACATTAACTGGTCGAATTCTGTAAGGATTGGCCGTACACAGACCAAATCGTGACGCTATGGATCATCGTTGAACAATCAATTGAATGGAACTCATCAATAAACATCAGCTTTCTTGATTATGAGGTGTTTGACACTGTGGGTAAAAGAACCTTATGGAACCTTCTTCGGCAAAATGATGTACCTGAGAAAATCATCAATATCACACGGAATTCACACGACGGACTACATCGCAAAAAGGTGCATGGATGACAGCTGACAGACGCATTCTAAGTAAGGACCGGCTGCTTACTCTTACCCTTTCTCTTTCTTCTGAAGACCTCCACATCTGAGGGGAAGCACGGAATAAAATGAACAGGTTGTATGCAACTAGACGATTTGGACTTTGCAGATGACCTGACCCTTCTATCCCATACACACGAACAAATGCAGCTGAAGACAGCCAGTAAAGCAGAAGCCTCTGCAGCGGTAAATTTCAATATACACAAGGGAAAGGAAGATCCTCAAATACAACATAGAGAACACCAACCTAATCACACTTGATGGAGAAGCTCTGAAAGAGGTGGAACAGTTTACCGCTTATTATTTGTTTTTGTTTAATTTAAAATCTTTACTGTGGATTCACTTTTTGTATCATTTATTTCTACTAAACTTAAATATGAATCAACACATGTGCATTTTTAAATGTGTCGAAACTACAGTTTTACATAATGTATTATTAGGATTAATTAGTTGACTTATTGAAACTTTAACTGAATCGTTTCTATATTAACTTAACTGTTACTGTTTTCTATGATGTTTGGATGGGCATATATATGGTTTTTACTTATGATAATCTCTTTATTGAGTACCATAAATTTTGCTATGGTAAAAACCTTTGAGGACAATAAACATTGTAACAAGTTCAGTTTAGGCAATATTTCTCATCTACTACATATTTATTACCCATAATTTAAATAATTCTTATTTTTGTTAAGAATATGTTAAGCGCCGAAAAGACTGCAAATTATGTTCGATGTTTAAAGTATTCACCTTCAACATAAGCGTGTAAATAGATAATAGGGTTAGCATCCAAGATTATTCAATAGAAACATAACTAAGAAAATTTATATAGATTGGATGGAATTTAGGTATCAGTGGAATCCAGGATGTATGTTTCGCCTTATTTAAAAAAAGAATTGTCACATTTTAAATGATCCAGAAGTTTAAGCTGACTATTGAAGTAAATCTTTATCATAAAATCAGTTGATAATTCTTCACCAATTTTATAAAGTTCATAAATTTTTTTTGTTTGATAATTTCAAATCCATCTAATCGAGTCAAACGAATTTTTAAAAGCATTCTAGCCTTTGTAATTATGTCGAGAGATGGTATAGTTTATATTTTATGAAGCTATCATTTGATGATGTAATCGCTTAATTAAGCATAATCAGATCATTAATTCATAATCTCTTTCCAGTTATTTCATGTTATAACGAGCAGTCAAAATCTTGCGTACTTAAACATTTACTGAACTCCACTGATAATACTTGAGTATTCTAGCTGACAAACATTTATCATAAAAACACATTGAATAAAATAAATAATCCTATTAAACGAAAATTTCAATGAGAAAAAAAAAGAACTTACCGAAATATCATGTAATGCAGTTTGTAAAGTAAAATATTCATTTTTCAGTATATCGATTTCAGACAGATTTGAATTCCCTGTGATATTTTGATCATTGTCATCATTATTGTCTACATTAGCTTTATCAGCTAATAACAATGAAATATCATTTTGATCTATGCCTAGTTCTAATGATTTAGTATATCCAGTATTAATTAATGAAGTAATATTAGTTTGTAATAATTTATTCGATGCTAATATCCATGATGAATCATTTTGTATTACAACTTCATGATTAATAAGCTCATGATTCTCAAACTTTTTATCTTCTACTTTATCATCATTTTTATTTATATTACTAATATTAGTATTATGTTGTAAATTTATTGAAGGAAATAATGTTATTAAATGAAGTGTTTTTAATAATGCTCTCATATGATATTCAATATATGTTGTAAATACAGAAAATAATTGATCTGATTGTTCACTTGTTATATTTGTTGATAGACCAATATTAGCATTACGCCAACATTTAATTAATTGACATTGAGTATTTTGTAATTCATACATCATATATCTTTGTAAATTAATAAGATTTTTTCTTAATAATGAACAATCTAATTCTGTACCAAGTATTGTGCATACATTACGAAATTCAGCTGATATACTATTAAGTAATTTAAATTGTTTTAAAAATTCTTCATGATCATTTGTTTCATTATTCATTGGTGAAACTGTTGTCATTACTGTATTAATTATTACAAAATAATGCTTAACAATATTATTAAATTATGAAGTACAATGATGAAACGTATAGAAAAAAGAAATTATTGAAATATTTATATGAATTTTAAAAAATGGGGCGTTACTTCATCATCATCATCATCAACAACAACAACATCATTATAAACATGTTTAATTCAAGTTATAAATAATAAAGGACATAATATCATGAAACTATACAGAAACACATTTATTTGTAATTCAAACAAATTGAACACACACTTAAATTTTCTTTCTTTTTTTGAAGTTTTCTTTTTTTGTTTTATTCACATGTACTTTTTTTCCTTAGATGTAAAGTATTCTATTGAGAATTGGAAATGTATTTTCCTTTGAATAAAAAAATAAATACTGTTTTTTTTTTAAGTGAATTGAATACATTAGAGTTAATCAATTTAATATGATTGGTTCTTGTTAACCATAGGTTAATTTTACAATTTTTTTTAATTTCATAAACGGAACAGTGTACTATTTATTTTGTAGTCGTCAAGTGAAAAATAGATTTTTATTCAAAGTAATAGTTTCTATTTAATTGTAACATAAAGCGTGAAGAGGATAGAAATACTTTATTTCATTATTGGTATTATTATTACTACCACTATTACTATACATCCTGTATCGATTGCTTATTTTTAAGTGTAAATGGTAAAATAGAGCGAAGTAAAATGAGCTACCAAAGAATCTAATCAAGAGTTGATAAAAACTAGTGATAATCAATTATAGAAAAGACCCCTATTTTTTTTAAAAAAAAGTTTGATAATAGTCAGTAGTGGAACACAAGAAGCGTAATTAATTTTATTTGAGACTCGTCAGCTGGGTGAACAATTATCACAGTGTTGTTATTTACACTGATCGCCAATATCGAACTTTGCACAGAGATGTTTGCAACACAATAGCGATAATGAGGGTGCATATATAACAAAAAGAAACTGATCAGTTATAGTCCTTAACATCAAAAAAAGGGAAAGATTCACACCTTCACAAATATAATATTGGTTTTTGTCTTTATTCATTGTTTTGGCATTTACTAAAACAGATAGGTAGCAAAATGGTAACTTCATTGATTTAGTATAACATATATTCTTCAATATTTAGTAGACTCACATGAATCTCACTTTCACACAATTATTTTCAAATGTTGTGGATTTTTAAGAAAAATTCAGTTAAACAACATCCGCGTCGAAGACCTTAGAAATATAACAGTGATTAATCGATGGGATTGTATGGTCATTATTATGTATCGTAAAAATCGGACGTCAGAATATACATCAACATAGAAGAGAAAGCCATCCATCTTTGCTCATAATACTTGTGACTTAAGGCAATATCGAGGCAATCCGCAAAGGATTCATACATGCCAATAAGAGACTGATCAACTGCAGTCCTAAACGTCAATGGGAAGTTTCAAACAACCAACATGAAATGAATTAAAACTTCACCTTATTGTATAAGCTAGTGTCTATCAGAACTTAGTGACTATGTGGATAATGCAATGGCATTTGAAGCGAACAGTACTTGGTTCGAGTCCCGGAGTGAACATCAATTCTTGGACGCAGGTACATCCAGCTGACGAGCCCTGAATAGGACGAAATGTCTCCTGGATTCCACTGCTAGCCATCATCCATTTTTACCTATAAGAAAACTTAAAGCTTAAAATAACCATGAAGCTGTTTCTCATCAGTGATAGGTACTTTATTTACTTACTTATGATAACAACGGAAATACTTAAGTGATAAAATTATACTGTGATTAGTTAAAAAAAATTTAATTCACTAGTTTACAAATTTAATCTTTTTGGCATGATTATTCTAGTATTTATAACTTTGATAAAATAAGGGCATTGTTCAAGTTTCCATAAATATTCACTCCATAAAATTTATAATCACTAGTTTGGTTGAACTAAAATATTCAGTGAGTAATGATTTTTCTATTTCTAATGAAATATCTTGATGTCCTGTCTACTCCAATATACAGTGTTGGGTGACATAGGAGCATATTATAAAAGTACTACAAGTGGATATGTCAGAACATAATATTATTTCATGAGGTCATTGATTGAAGGTTAGAGTTATATCGGTAAATGAAAACTTTCCGGTTGTTATTCATTCAGTACTTCAGATCAATGGTTGAAGCTGTTGGGTGAGATGGTCCAAAACCAATCACACTGGGGCAGTCGACGTCATTCTTCATACCTTTTTAAATATTAAGTAGGTCATCATTCCTAAACTTCTTTATCGAAGCCATTTGTTCTGCTTGAAATTTCTTTCTGATATATGACTTTCCTTTGCTATAGACAATATTTTTTTCTCCTTTACTTCCTTTGGTGTCAATTCACTGTCTGTCGCTGTGTTCGTGTGAGGTACAGTATTTCGGACAGACATGTATTTAGCTCTTATCCTGGATCAATGATTATTGACTAGTTAACAAATTACTGAGCTCAAATCAAAGAATGTAACACCACTGACATGAAAGCATTGAATATAAATCGAGAAATAACTAGTGAAGAACTTTTCTAGTTAGTTACAATGAAAAGTATTCGTTTTCTCTAATAAGTTGAAACTACTCAATATTAAGGCTGAGAATATTATTTCAAAGTGAACAAGAAAATTAATCAATGCTAGAAAATAAAACTTTGATCAGACTTCAAAATAAAGAATACATCAAAGATATTATTACATTAACACTAACATATGTACATCATGTGGTAGAAGACAAAGGAAATAACTAGCTAGAAAACACTTTTTATACCATTCTCATATTTAGTTCATAACATTGAATACTAGAAAAAGACAATTTTAATTAATAAATAGTTTAATTATCAGGGCGTATTAAGTTACTATGGTAACAGAACAATATGAAAATTCAAAAGAAATTATTTTGAAAAATTGTATTTTTATTTTACTCTTTGAAATAATTCATTTTAAACATAATTGCAAATAGTTAAACAAATTTACTTTTGAAAATGTAACAAAAACGTATTATACATGTAACTCGATAATGAATACAAAGTTGAATATAATTGGTTTACTCCATGTCAATTTTCAATTCTAGTCAGTTGAAGAATTCAAAAAAAAATTATTTTTCGTTTTGATAATTATTCACTTTTCTATTATTTTAAAAGTAGTAGTTGAAATTAACCCAGTTGGATATTATGCACATTCGTGTTAAATTCATTTTTTTAAAATATTTGTATAGGTATTTAAAATTTAAAAAAACTAATAGCAATGTTTAGAGTGAGTGTATATGATCTACAATTCATACCTAGAAATGATTCATGGAAGGTGTTGAAATTGTGAAAATCATGTAGTCATTAATACATTTGCAAATCTTCCATAAATTGTCCTTTACATCTTTCATGATTATTACAGTCCTAAATTCTTTTATGTTTGACTTTCTATTGTCTTCAATTCTATCTTATCAACCTTCTTTTGACAGGCATTCCATTTCTGTTTGATGTTACATGCTACCTATATCTGTCGATATAAGTAGCATACACCATATATATACATCTTGGCGATTTGTAACATTTGTTTACTTTAATATCCGGGAAATTACAGACCAAATATAATGATCCAAAAAATAAACAAACATATGAAAACCGCTTAAGTTATTATTAATTGAGATGGTGAAGATTTGTAGCTCAGATGGATGATTTTGATGGAGTTTTGTTCTCTGAGCTGGACCAATATTTTGATCAATCATATACTGTTTTGAGTTATTAAATAACATTGAATTGTATACATTTTCAGGAATCAACGAATTAGAAAATTTTCTTTTGGTTATAAAGATAAGTAGAATTCTTTACATATCATTCAAAATTAATCCTTAGAAAGTGATTGTAGAACACTATAAACAATGCTAGGCGTTTGGAGATAATCGACAAGAAAGCCTAAACCTATGTTTCATGTTAGTTGGCATTTGTTAGTAGGGCTTTCTACTTGATTTTTAATGATTCTCTATTTTATATCAATCCATAATAAAAACTAATCACAGATTAAACAATCTTCTCAGGTTACATATATTAATATGTTATTTGAGATACTTATCACTTCTTTTATGTGTTAACTAATAAGTGGGAGAAATTCTTAAAATACATTGAAAAATAATAATGCAAAAATATGTACATAGACTTAAATATTACTTATTGGATAATTTACAGTCAACTTCATTCATGTGTTTTTTTGCATTTCTACGGTAAACAGATATTGTCTCAATTATTCTACTTTTATGAACTTTATCCAACTTTTGTTTGCTTAATTCATAGTAAACTTTAAAAAGGATTCTTTTATTAATGATGATTATGATTGCTGGTAATCAATGATACATTAGATTTGAACTTGTAATCAAAGTCATGATAAATTATTTGTACTACTTAATTCATACTTCAACTTAACTTATTGCACTCTACTAAGACAAAAAGAAATAATAACACTGTGATAATCTTATATACGAACATCTAGATGGTTTTCTGTCCCCGACATAATTCTGCGATTGATTTCAGTGAATAGAATTATGTTCTGCCAAATCGAAGGTGTTGAAGCTTATTCCAATCCGAGCAGTGACAGTATTTGTTCATATTGTATTATTTTTCGCTAACTTTCACAGTCCACCACACTTAATAGTAAAACTAAACCCCCCGAGATGCATACATATACATCGTTGTATTGCTTTCCTAATCTTCAAGTAAATCAATACACGAAATAAAGTAAAACGCTGGAGTAAACACTAACACATTCGTTTATTGGAAAAAGATACAAAAGGAAGGAAATAGGGGTATTGTAAGGAGCAGAAAATAGGTCATACTTCAAGAAGAATACATAGACTATAAATCACAGTTATAATTCAATTTATAAGAAATGGAAAATAGTTGTGAGAAGTTTACAAGAAAAAAAGGATAGTAACATAATATAGTTAACAGAAAAAAAACAACAAGCGCACTTATTGTCATGGTGACTAAAGTGTATTCAAGTGAATTAAAACGGTATATGAGTAACTATGTGTCCAGGGAATAATTCTGTA